GCAGGTCTTCAAGTTCAGCCAGCTGCTCTCCAGCCCTTCACACTGTTTGGTATCTGTTGTGGTTTGAATATGAAATGCCCCCCATGGGCTCATGTGTTGAAAGCTTGGCCCCCAGCTGGCGGCACTATTTTGGGAAGTTTTGGAAACCCTAGGCAGGGCCTAGTTGGACAATGTAGGTCACTAGGGGCTGACTTTGAAGGCTATACCTGGTCCCCACTAACTTCCTTGCTCTCTGCTTCCTGTCCCCCATGATGTGAACATCCTCTTCAATGCTCTTCCACCACCATGATGTACAGCCTCATTCCAGGTCCACAAATGCAGAGCCAAGTGACCACAAACTGAACCCTCTGAAATCATGAGCTAAAATAAATCTTTCCTCCCCTTAAATTGTTTCTGTCAAGTGACTGAAAAATAACTGCTGAACGCTGGTGGCTCACGCCTATAATCCTAGCTACTCAGAGGCAGAGATCCAGAGGATCATGGTTTGAAGCCAGCCTGGGCAAATAGTTGGTGAGACCCTATCTCCAAAAAACCCATCATAGAAAGGGCTGGTGGAGTAGCTCAAGGTGTAATCCCTAAGTTCAAACCCCAGTACTGCAAAAAGAAAGGAAGGAAGGAAGAAAGGAAAGAGGGAAGGAAGGAAGGAAGAAAATTAAGACAGTACCAAACTCAATGTATTCACTTTTGCCTAGGTCAGTCAGAGTGGAGCGTCTGGCTCCTAGAGAAATTCATATCCTCACCAAAAGGTAGGCATGCATCTGTACATAGGAGATGGCTAGAACCTGGCACCCAACCATTCCCTGCCATCCTTCACAGTCACACACATGACTGACTCACTAGGAGATAGTAGCCTTGCCTACTAGTCATTTGTCCTACACAGTACAAATAACTTGGTCACCAAAGCATTACAGCTTTAAAGACTCCCTACAATAGTCTTAATTCTAGTAGACATTTTGGAAATTCAAAAAAAGGATTCAGATTGTTTTGGTTTGGGAAAAGTACTCATCCTGGACCAGTGGACCATAGCCAAGATATGAACATCTCGAAGTCCTTCATAATTTGTCTTCACGTGCCTTTTCTTCCTTCTCTTTTTTCTTTTGATACAGGATTTCCCTAGGTAGGCAGGCTGGCCTCAAACTCACAATCTTCCTGTGTGCTGGGATTACAGGCTTTTGCCATCATATCTGAGTTCATCATGCCTTTTAAATGAATCCTTCCCCATACATTTACATAAAGCATAAAACCCCCACTCCAGACACACTGAATTATTTGATACTTCAGCAATATATTACATATTTTCACAGCTCTGTGCTTTTTTTTTTTCTTTGCGGTACTGGGGTTTGAACTCAAATCCTTACACTTGCCATGCAGACCATCTTACAGCTTAAGCCACTCTCCCAGCCCATTTTTGTGATGAATTTTCTCAAGATAGGGTCTCAAAAACTATTTACCTGGGGCTGTCTTCAAACCCTGATCCTCCAGCTCTCTGCCTCCTGAGTAGCTAGGATTACAGATCCATGCTCCATGCTTCTCTTACTCTATTCCCTCTTCCTCTAATGAACTATTATCCCTCTCTCAAAATTCTAGTCCTTAAAGACTCAACTAAAAATTCACTCACAGCTGCCCACCTCCTCTCAAAGTTAGTCACTTTATCCTCACCACTCTCTTAACCCATATTGTACTTACTTCTAAATATATCTTGTCTTTCCCACAAGATTTGAACCTTCTCAGAGTCACAGACTCCGATACAGTCATTTCTTATTCTTCAGTTTCTAATGCCATGCCTTATGCTTAGGCAGAACTCAGTAAATGTTTGACAAATGAGTGACCATTCAACAATGCTCCCTACATGTCACCAACTATCACTAAATAATGGTGGATGAGAGATGAGAGATGACTATAGAACCTTAGTTCCTTAACAGTACCACTAATTAGCTTTCTGAAAGAGAAAGAACCTACCGAGAAGCAGCTATATGGCCTTCCTTCCACCTTCCAGATGGCCAAGATCATCCTTGAACTAGGAAATCTCCATTCTTGTTTGCAAAACCATAATGTGTGTGGATAGATAGATAGATGATAGATAGATATAGATATACAGATGTACGTGTACTGAATCAGATTTTCATCAATACACTAAAATAGCAATCAATTTCTACATATTTTCATCACTATCTTCAGGCAGGATGGAAAACATAGAGACAAGCAGCTTGGTTTTCTGATGCTCTCCACACTCACATAATCCCATCTCAACTATTTTTCCCAAATGACAGCAGAGAATGACACTGTGTTCCCAGTATGGCAAACATAGGAAGTAGAAACAAGTAACCATCAATTTTACAAACCATTTGGCAAAACCAGTTCTCCAAGATAAACTCCATGCAAACTCTGGTGTTCCATTCCAATGCTTGAATCTACTTCAAATTGCTGGCAGAACAAGCCCTGATGATCAACCTGCCCAAGAAATCCAGAGACCGAGGTTTCTGGTCCTACAAGCAATCATCTCCTGCTGACATTGACGTATGGATGTCATCTAAAGTCACTGCTGCTTCTGCATGATGTGATGAACACGGTGAACCAGAGGCAAATATACAGAAAACATGCAGAAGCCCAGGACACAGTTTTTCAGTTCAAGTATATTCAAGTGATAATAATTATGGAGCAGACTCCTATAACCTGATATTGGACAGCCCCATAAGATAGCCAAAGAAACTTTAAATTAAGAATATGAAGCTGAAAATCCACCTATTTTGTAATATCAGCTTTTGTCTCAGCCCTTGGTCATCCTACCTCCACTTCCAAATAGCTGAGATTATAGACACACACCACTACACCAGGCTTGTTTTTTGAAATAGGGTCTCACTAACTTTTATCTGTGCTGGCTTCAAACCCCAATCCTCTTATTTCCACCTTTCAAGTAGCTGGGATTATAAGTGTGCGCAACCAGACCCAGACCCTTGCCTATATTTTATAGTCATGTAAATGACAGACCTAGGATAGCCTTTGTCTAGCGAGGTGATCCTCAAATCTATAACATTTCCACTAAACCAAACTACTTCCTATCTACTTTGCTCTGATAAATATGCTTTCAAAATTCAAGAACCTAAATGTGATACAGTAGCCTAGATCAGATTATGAAACAGAAAACAGACATCAGTGGAAAAACTATTGAAGTCCAGATAAAATCTAGTTTAGTTAATAATACTTTGCTAATGTTAATTTGTTCAGACAAATGTACCTTTATAATGCAAGCTGTTAACATTAGGAGCAACCATGTGAAAACGATATTTACATTTCTATGACTTCTCCATAAATTAAAATTGTTCCAAAATAAAAAGTATATTTTTAAAAATTCAAGGAAGTTTTTGAACCTCAGATATTAGCCTGAAGCCTGACAACTAGCTGGATATTTCCAAAGGAGTAGAAGCACGTGGTCTTTTCTATGATTGTGAATTTTAAATGTACCAAAGATGTCATTTCTGGCTTCATCACATTAGGGTAGTACAAAAAATAAGTTAAATCCTGTATAAAATGACATCTTAGTTGACCAGCAACAAAATGCAGCCTGACAGAAAAAAAGGAAACCTGAACAAGTGGATCAAAACAGCAGGTGACCTAAACAGCTGCTTTATAATATGCTGAAGTAGGCAGTTTGGGTAGTTGGGAAGCAGAAACAATGCAAGGCCACCCTGAAGATGAGGGTGATGTCATTTAAACATTGGATATTGAGAAAGAGCAGCAGCAAACTCAACTGACCCACAGTAGTTAGAAGGTAGAAAGGGGTTCATCCCTTTCTGAACTAAGACCTCAAGCAAACCATGAAAACAATGTAACACAACTGCAAAAAGCAAGACTCCACCTCCCCCTTATCCTCAAATCAGAGGACAATCTTCCATCTGTGTAGTCTGTGGAGAGGGCTGCTGACCCTCTGCTGATCTTGAAGACATTGCACATAGAGATGGTGCTTCGATCACAAACATCATCTTCAGAAAAGATACTCTTCACCCATCCCCAAACCACAGAAAACAACTATTGATACATATATTTAAAATGTTCAGACTTGCATTTCCAGACTATTGTAACTTATAACTAGATTTCTTCCACATTACATATCCAGGGAAACCACGGCTTAATATTCTACATTTTTAATCATATCGGTTGGTCTCAGTTGGGTTATGTCCTCCACATGACAAGGTTAAGCAAAGCACTAAAGCACTTTTTTTTCTGGGGGGGGGGGAGGCTTCTTGTTTTTGTCTTCACACTGCTTATTTCAAAGTTTCAAGTGTTTTTCCTTTTGGAATTTTAATTTACTGTAAATGCTTGCCCATTAAAACATTCCCTAGTGCCATTCTATTCCTGACCCTTCTGGATACAAATCCTTGATAGACATCCGAAGAGGGGGAGGAGGTGTATGGAGCTATTGGGAAGCTTCTGAATTATTCCCTGAAGGTTTGTGATCTACATGCTGAGGACGTTCTCTTTGTTAAGAATTTAGCTATCCAGCCCTTAAGGTCACACAATTAATATTCTCGCTGGAACCGTGGGACTTTTCTTTGAAAGAGTTGTCCAGTTTTCAGGCCACAATTAGGTCCTAGCCGGTCCAGGAACATGGCCCGAAAAGAATGTCGGTATTTTCCTCCAGGTATAGGTGCCTGGGGGTCAGCCGGAGAGGGAAAGGCATGGGGTGGAGTGGGAGGCGGGTGATCGACAGGGATAGAAACCGTGTCTCCACCTCCTCGGAATGCGAAATAGCCAATGAGGTGGCGCGGCCGGGCCGGCCGGGCCGCCACTGCCATATAGTATGCAGCAACCGGAGGAGTCACGTTGGGGGAACGGCAGAAAGCAGCTATCCGTTTACACTACTTTGCTCTAGCAGCTATCTTAATGGTGACTGCGTGGCCGGGGGGAAACCTGATCGGCCAGATCCAGCCGAAACCGGGAGGGAGGGAGTGGGCTTTCCGGAGGGGGGGAGGGGGGAGGGAGACGAAGAAGGAGGAGTAAGAGAGGGGGAAAGAAAGAGGAAAAGAGTGCGAGGGAGTGAGGGAGGGAGGAAAATAAACAACAAAAAATGTCCTCTTCCTCCCCCACCGGGCAGATTGCAAGTGCGGCGGACATCAAGCAGGAGAATGGGATGGAAAGCGCCTCGGAAGGGCAGGAGGCGCACGGAGAAGTGGCGGGGGGCGCGGTGGCGGGGCTGAGCCCCCCGGCTCCAGCCCCTTTCCCCCTAGAGCCGGGGGACGCCACCGCCAGGGTGAGCAGAGAGGAAGGGACAGTGGCGACGGATCAGGTACAACTCCACTCGGAACTTCTGAGCAGGCACCACCACGCAGCCGCCGCCGCCACCGCGCAGACCCCGCTGGCCTTCTCGCCGGACCATGTCGCCTGCGTGTGCGAGGCGCTGCAGCAGGGGGGCAACCTGGACCGCCTGGCCCGGTTCCTGTGGTCCCTGCCCCAGAGCGACCTGCTACGTGGCAACGAGAGTCTGCTGAAGGCACGGGCGCTCGTGGCCTTCCACCAGGGCATCTACCCTGAGCTCTACAGCATCCTCGAGAGTCACAGCTTCGAGTCGGCCAACCACCCGCTGCTGCAGCAGCTCTGGTACAAGGCGCGCTACACCGAGGCCGAGCGAGCCCGCGGCCGGCCGCTGGGCGCCGTGGACAAGTACCGGCTGCGCAGGAAATTCCCCCTGCCCCGCACCATCTGGGACGGCGAGGAGACGGTGTATTGTTTCAAGGAGAAGTCGCGCAACGCGCTCAAGGAGCTCTACAAGCAGAATCGCTACCCTTCTCCCGCCGAGAAGCGGCACCTGGCCAAGATCACCGGCCTCTCCCTCACCCAGGTCAGCAACTGGTTCAAGAACCGCCGGCAGCGCGACCGGAACCCTTCCGAGACCCAGTCCAAAAGGTGAGCGCCAACTTTCCTCCTCCTCCCCCTTCCTCTCCCCCACCCCCTTCCCAGCTTTCTTTTCCTCCAAGTGCTCGCAAACATGGCGCTTACCTTCCCCACCAGCCCAGTCCGGCTGCCCACCTCTCCCCGCCCCCCACCTCGCTCCTGGACCCGGAGGGGGGCGGCGGTGGCCAGGGGCGGGGGATCCTCCCTCCTTACCCTTCCCCCTCCTGCCCCCAGAAGTTTCTGGTCGCCCGCCTGGGTCTCAGTCCCCGCCCCCACCTCGGCTGGTCACTGCTGCCCGGCTTCCCACCCCCATCCCGCTGGCTTTGAAGTTGCCATTCTGGGTTTGGTTCTAGTCGGGCGAAGGAAGCGAGTGTAGACGCGGGCCGGGCAGCTCCCACTGCCGCGCGAGGCCCACGCGGGCTGCGGGTGCCGGCCGGGGTCTGCGCTTCCCGCAGGGTCACTCCGGGCCCGGCGTGCGCCACACGCTTCGTGATACCCACGGTTCGGGGACCGCTCTGAAGGGAACAGAGTGTTAGTGGGGGTCTGGCGGCCCAGAAGGAGTCTGGGGACCTGAAGGTTTTAATATGACAGAGTTAATCATTCATCCTGCGCGCAGTGGTTCCCTTCGCGGCCGCCGCAACGTGGGGTGCCGGTGCGGCTCGGCTCTGCCGTGTTTTGAAACCTGATTCTGAACAACTTCGGATCGGGTTTCAGCGCCGCGGGGTAGCAGGGTTGAAGAGCAGCTTCTTCGGCCCTCGAAATGCGTGATAGGGTAGTTAGGGGTGGGAGCAAGCTGGCCTAAGGAGGACAGCAGGAAAAGTGGGTGGGTGGGGGGGTGGAGCGCTATCCACTCAACCCCTCCAAGTGCCCACCCCATCGGTTTTGAACTTTTTGACTGGCAATTTTTTTCCCCCTCTCTGGTAGAATGCCAGGGTTTCCATCTTTTTTGTGTGTCCCTCAGTCAGACAGTTGGCGTGTGTGTCTGTGTAATTTTGGACGAGGTAAAGTAAGGAAAAGGCCGTCTGAAGAGATGGTGTCTTCAGCCCTGCGGGGATTGGAGAGAAAGAATCTAAACGCAGCTTGAAGATTCAGCTCAGGGAAGGAATCTGGGAGCCGGAGAGCCAGCTGGCCAGGTGAAGGTGATCACCCGGAGCATTCCAAAGCCGGCCGCGGCCCGCCCTTGTCGCTGTTGTCCCTGCACCCCGGTGGGGCCCGACGGTTGCCCTGTTGCAAGCTCCAGGCAAGGACAGAAGTGCTGTGCCTGATCCCGGCCTCGCCGTAACCATAAACAAAACGCGCACGGCGACCTGGACACCCTGGTCGAGAGAGACCCAGAGTAGGACAGGCCACCTGCCCCCGCGCCAACTAGAGGCCGCGGATTCCCGAGCACCGACGGAATCTGCCAGGCAGGGGGCAGAGGGTGCGGAGCGGGCAAGACGCGCAGGCCATGCCGCTCCTGAGCCCCGTGCGTTCCCTGGGTCTCCCCCCGCCCCTTTGTCACGCTGCCTACTTCACCCTCTTTCCCCCGGCTCAGTTGCTTGGTTTAGGCCCCTCTCCGGATCTGTCTCCCACCTGCACCCCCGGTGAGTCACCCTCACAGACGGCACGGCGGCTCAGCCTCAGCTCGTAAATCAAAGCGCTTTCTGCGCTCCCGGCCCCGCAGCCCAAAGCCGGGGTAATCCCCTCCCCTCAGCTTGAAAGCGAACAGACCGCGGGCCACTGCTGAGGTGTCGGATCCTCCTTTGGGCCAAGTCCCACTGTGTTTCCAAACTGTTTCGGTCCTACTCCCTCTCGCCCAGCCTCACACCAAATGGGGGAAAGCCCCCATCACACCTCCCCGATCCGGATCTGGTATTTACTACAAGTCAGGGAGCCAAAGAACACAGTCCTGCCTGGAACAAAAGGACTAAGGACTCTGGGAAGGGATTTGAGTGAAGGCCACTGAATGATCCCACCTTTTCCCTCCCACCTCTATAAGGCACAGGATGGTGTATATTAAATAGGTCCTTATGGCTTCCTTTGCATTCAAAGGCGACTGCACATACTGTTCTTGGGTTGAAAGTGTCTTTCCTACAACAAGGACAGCCACTTTGTTGAATTGGAGTTGTCAGTCTGGTGGAATAGAAGTTTGGGAGCAGGTGAGAAAATGATCTCTTGTTCACTAACAGGCAAATAAAACTGAACAGTTCACACTTCGTGTTCCTTTAGCAGTTCTCTCTACCCTCCAAAATAACACTAATCTGAATTGGTGTGAGGGGAGGGGAAGGTGCTCTACACAGAAAAAACCGTCCTCATTTAATGAGTTGTTTCTATGGCATAAGCAGCATACTTACAGTAAGGAGAAGGACATTAATGTCATAAGAATGAAAATACAGTACTCTTCTGTTGGCTGAATTTACATCTTCCAACTCTCTGGCCCTTTCCCTGGATTTATTGCTATTAGAAATGACTAGAATCTGAGAATTCATCTTCCCAGATTCTCTGGCTGATCAGAGTCCGCTGAAAGGCCTTAGAGTTTAAATAGTGTACTATGAGACATAATATAGAATAGTATAGACTAGCAGACATCCTGCTGTGCTTTTCGTGGACTTAAGGCTGTTTTCCAAACTATGTGGAATGTCCTCCCCCTGACCTTCTAAATGTCTTGATTTCCCCCTCTGTACAGTGAGTCAGATGGCAATCCCAGCACTGAAGATGAATCCAGCAAGGGACATGAGGACTTGTCTCCTCACTCACTCTCGGGTTCATCGGATGGCATCAGCAACCTTGGCCTTTCCAGTCACATGGAGCCAGTGTATATGCAACAGATTGGAAATGCTAAGATATCATTACGCTCTTCTGGAGTTTTGCTGAATGGAAGTTTGGTACCTGCAAGTACTTCACCTGTCTTCCTTAATGGTAATTCTTTTATTCAGGGACACAATGGAGTTATCCTTAATGGATTAAACATGGGAAATACACAGACAGTGTCACTGAACCCACCAAAAATGTCTTCAAACATTGTGAGCAATGGTTTAACCATGACTGACATACTGGGGTCTACCTCCCAGGATGTGAAGGATTTTAAAGTCCTCCAGAGTTCTGCAAGTTCAGCAGCCACCACCTCCTACAGCCCTAGTTCCCCTGTGTCATTCCCAGGACTGATACCCAGCAGTGAGGTGAAAAGAGAAGGCATTCAAACAGTGGCTTCCCAGGATGGGGGCTCCGTCGTGACATTTACTACACCAGTGCAAATTAACCAGTATGGCATTGTCCAGATTCCCAATTCCGGAGCAAGTGGCCAGTTCCTTAACGGGAGCATTGGATTCTCTTCACTGCAGCTGCCTCCTGTCTCAGTGGCAGCTTCACAAGGTAAAAGCCTCATGTGGTCCCATAATGCACCAGTGAATGTGTGGTCGGCTGCTATAAATGATGCAGTTAGTGAGAGCTATAGATTGATGTTACTGTGTTGGTCCCTCATTGGCTTCCACAACTGCAAAACTGCCTTGATGTGGCTCTCCTCCTTCACAAGATCTGTGTCATACCCAGCTTGTCTGAGTCCCTGGTGTCCTGGGGGTGGGCTTGTATTTTTCTCAAAACTGAATGGAAAAGTCCAGTTCCTAACAAGTCTTGCCAATTCTACAATTGTAGAAACATGATATGACTTCAGCATATTTTATCAATGCTTACAAAGTAACCCACTACTTGACATTTTTAAATTAAAAATTAATAAAATTGCTAAGCACATAAAATTAGTCAAGCAGTTAGTAAGAATGTATATGCTTTACCTAAGCATTATTTATTGGATCAGAAAATGTCTTAAAAGAATAAGTTAGAAAAGACTGGATATTTTGTTTGAATCATGTTCCTCCCATAATTAAGACTGAAACCTAAAAATCCTAAAAGAAAAAAAAAAAGGAATATGTAATTAGGTTTTTGTTGCTGTCTCCTAATACATGATTAGGTTTTCATTGCTCTGGGTATATGTACATCTCCTAAATGTGTGGGTTTATTTATGAAGGTAACAGCTAGCCTTATTGTGTATGTTTGGACATTACTAATAGCAATCTGCAAGGAAAAGCATTGATCTGAAGTTCAGAAGGCCTGAGGCTGATAGGTCAGTTCTTCACTGACTTTAAAAATATATGGATCACTTGGTATTTTTCTCTGTATAGAACTAAGAATGGTTAGAATGTAGTAGAGGTCATATAGCCCCTTGAATTCAGGAGTAGGATATGTTGAGGCATGTTTGCCTTCTTATAAACAAATCTAAAACTCCAGTGTTTTACCAAAGCAAATTTAAGAAATTGTTGGTCTTGCTGGTGGAATGGCTCAAAAAGTGGTAGAGTGCCTGCCTAGCAAGTGTAAGGCCTGAGTTCAAATCCCAGCACCACCAAAAAAGGAAGGAAAGAAGGAAAGGAAGAAATTGTTGGCCTTAAAGGTCAGCTTTCTAGAAGATGGTTTTACCAAAAATAAGTCAATTTATACACAACTCTGTTGTTTCCACAACTATGGTCTACTACATTAATGGGAAAATGGTTATAAATCTCATTTGGTACATCTGCTTCTCTTTAGGTGAAATGGTAGTAAAACACCACAGCCCTACAGCATTCTATTCAGTTGTTTATTTTTCCAGGTTATGGAAAGAGTTAAATCCAACGTAAGGCAAAAATATGAACACCACAGGGAAAAGCAAAGTGCTTGGTTTTACAACAATTTATTATGGATCTAAACCCTTTCCCACTTTAGGAAAATTTCCAAACAGCAGGTAACATTTTAACGACAACAAATTTAAGCAGAAAGTATGATCACATACGTCAAAAATGCTTTTCATTTCTAATCTAGAAAAGTGCTACCATAGAAAACTATTACGAACTAACAGCTAATTTTTAAATGGGGCATTTAGTAGGAGTAAGAATAGCATTGTCAGTTAAAATCACTAAGATCAAATGACAGGGCTGTCAATCCTTAGACTGTCTGGGTGAATTGAAGGCGTAAGTTTAACCAGATGGGTGCAGTCAGCAACATTCCTTTATAGTAGTTGTGTATTTCAGTTCTCAGTGAAGCATTCTGGGGATTCAGACTTTCTCAGAAACACACTGAACCTTCTGAAAAATGTCGAGACAAAGTAGTCCTATCTTTCTATACTTTTGCTTTATACAAAAAAAATAGAATGGCTACATCTTTTGCTACTTTATAACCTGAGAAAATAAGGGCTTTTTTTTCCCCTTACCTTTATTACAAAGTTATTACCTATGATTTTTCAGTTTATTTTTTAACTGATTTTTAAACTATTTAATTTATAACTCAAATGCAGCTTTACTTAAAAATCATCTTTCAGATCATATCTGCTTTTCCTCTTGTTTATACGTTACAATTTTTGCACATACAGAAATATTATTTTACTTATATTCAATAGCCAATGGGGGGAAATGCTGCATGTATTATTAATTTTGGTTCAAAATTTAAAAATTAACTAATCATTTGGTTCACGTGTACTGGTAAACAATTTCACAAACATAAAACAAAGTGTAAACATCTATTTCAGATGGGTTTTGCCACAAATAAGCAGCCCGCGAGACCTTTAAAACATACTTAAGCTTGAAGCCAAATGTTTTCAAATAAAAACAGAGTTGTTTTTTTTTTCTCCGTTTGTATGGCTTGAACAAACATTTATGTTACAGAACAGCCCAAACATACCTAAAAATGTTTTTCTTAACACCAGTATTTCTAATATTTTCTACTTGTTACATTTTTAAAGGAATGTATACTATTTTCTTTTTTTTTTTTCCTTTTACTCATTTAAAGACATTCTTTTGCGTTGGGTTGCTTAAAAATGTTTAGAAGACATATAAACAGACCCATGGCACCCCTGTATCACTATAGGTAGTAATATAATCACGATTCTAATAATTCAAGGAAGTAACTTCTGTGTATTACCTAATTTAACATTGGTCCATTTTCTCAAACAGTAGAGTTAACCAGACATCTAATTCAAGGTTAAGGTGAATACCCCATGAGACTCTCCCTAAATCCACTTTTCCTTCCATGGCAGTGTTTGGGGACCTGGCTCATCTAATTGCTATCATCTCACTGTGTCTTTGAAAAGACTCAGAAAGGGATTTTGTTTGATAGAGATGGGGGGAGGGCACTAATTCATCTACAGTGTCTGAGTTATCTGATTTGAACATCTCAGCTTTCCACTTACATTTCTTTTTCTGTTTCTGGTCTCTACAGACCATTATAATGAGAGCCTCGAAAGATACAAACCTTTTAGAGAAGCATTAGCTCTGGTCCTTTATGTTAATCTGTATTTTATAAAGCACATTTCTGTATTATCATTAATTCTTCCTATCACTACAACACTGAAAATCCAGAACTAGCATAACAAAGAAGAAAAACCTTTTGAATGTTTTGTTGACTTGACATTACTTCATGGCTAGTTTGGTGAAAGTTTGCAACTTGCCTGTACAGGTTTATGTGGTTAACTTTTAAGCCCCAGGGAAAATCATTTTATGTGGTATTTTCTACATTTCCATTTATATTTTATGCTAGTTACCGAGTAGTCCTGAACAAAGACATTTATGTTCTCTATTTCTAACTGGCAGTGCTAGCAATAGCTATCAACTAATTAAGAGATGTCAAGTCCACAATAATGAACCAGAAACTTACGAAAATCAGAACTTGGACAAGATTTTTTTTTTTTCACACTTGATTTGGTTTAGCTGGCTTTCTTTCTTTCTCTTTTTCTCTTTCTTTCTTCTTTCTCTTGAGACAGGGTGCCACTATGTATCCTAGGCTGGCCTTGAGATCACAATCTTCCTGCCTTAGCCTCCTGAGTGCTGGGATTATAGGTGTGAACCCCTACATCCAGCTACCACATTTGATTTCTTTTATTTATTCTTTTGCAATGCTAGGGATCAAATCTAGGGCCTTGCACATGCTAGGCAAGTGCTCCCACACTTGGTTTGTAGACCAGTAGTTCTCACTTTTATTTGGCCATCAGAATTGCTTGAGGTATTAAAAATATTGCTAGTCTGGACAGAAGTTGTGGTAAAGTATACGCCCACATGCGCAAGGCCCTAGGTTCAATCCCCCAGCACTACTGATACATATATAGTATAGTGTATATAGCATATGTGTGTGTAAGTATCTAATATGCATATATACATAGCTACTGTGACTTTCTGAGTGTACAGCTTGTGAATCTATAATCTCAAGTGTCCAAGGTGATTCTAATCTAGGATTGGGCTAAATTATTATATAGAAGTATCACTTCTCCATAGATACTATGTAGGGGGTAGGGGGGTGGAATGTGTGTGAAAAAAGGATCTTTTTTTCTTTCCCTATCACTTCATCAATGCTAATTGGTACTTTACTTTTTTTCCTAGGTAACATTTCAGTAAATTCAAGCGGTTCCGATGGGAGCACATTCACAAGTGAGTCTACCACAGTCCAGCAAGGAAAGGTTTTCCTGAGCTCTCTTGCTCCCAGTGCAGTGGTATACACTGTTCCTAATTCAGGCCAGACTGTAGGATCTGTGAAACAGGAAGGCTTAGAGAGAAGCCTGGTATTTTCTCAGTTGATGCCTGTCAATCAGAATGCACAAGTAAATGCAAACCTGTCTTCTGAAAATATCTCTGGGAGCGGCCTCCACCCTCTGGCCTCCTCACTAGTTAACGTATCCCCAGCTCACAGTTTTTCCCTGACACCCCCTACACTACTAAATCCCACCGAGCTAAGCCCTGACATTGCCGATAGCCAGCCAATGTCTGCACCTGTGACAAGCAAAGCTACTGTGACATCTGTCAGCAACACTAACTATGCAACTCTTCAAAACTGCTCACTTATTACTGGTCAAGATCTGTTGTCAGTCCCCATGACTCAGGCTGCCCTGGGGGAAATAGTTCCTACAGCTGAAGACCAGGTGGGTCATGCCTCCCCGGCAGTACACCAGGATTTTGTTAGAGAACATCGTTTGGTTCTGCAATCAGTAACTAACATAAAAGAGACTTTCTTACAAAATTCTGAGAGCAAAGCAGCAAACAGCTTAATGATGTTGGACTGTAAATCCAAGTATGTCCTAGATGGTATGGTTGAAACTGTCTGTGAAGACCTGGAAACGGACAAAAAAGAGCTGGCCAAGCTCCAAACTGTCCAGTTGGATGAAGATATACAAGACTTATAAACTTTATCCCTACACCCCCCCCCCCCCTTATTTTTTGGCATCAGCAACAAATTTTTTCATGGAGCTCTGAATATATAAAGCATTTCCCACTTAAAGGAAAACACTCTACTTTTGCAAATAAATGCAGTCAAGAGACTTTGGATTGATCTGCATGAAGATTACAATTAAATATGCAGTAGAACTGCATTACTGCAGCATTTTTGTTCATATATATTCTCTTTTAAATAGATGGCAACAAAGGAGCAAGATGAAATGTATCAAGTCAAAATAGATCATTTAGTTGGCAATATAATTCTAAGGTCAAAGTGGAACTTGATAGTTTTTTAAATTAAAAATGTATACACTTAACATAGAAAATTAAATATAGCTACAGACTGATAGAAACAATGTAATTGTTTTTGTTTACTTTTACTCCATGGGCATTGATATGGTTCCGAAACATAAATGGTACTCCAAGCTATTATAAGGGTATATTTTTGAAGTTAAGTAGCTTAAGTATATATATATATGTATATATATATATATATACATATATATACGCATACACACATTTATGTTTTCAAGATTTTTGACAGTCTTGGTTTTAAGTCTCTACACATTTCCAAATGTGATTGCTAATAGTTTAATGTGACTAAGAAAGTTTGAAACTCCACTAAAAACTCTGAAACAAACTTCAGTGTGAATGTAAATACTGTATCAATTCTATAAGCAGGATGAGTAAGTACAGTGAATTTTATTTATACTGTGTGTTTCTCTTATACTTCAGGCGATATGAACTGAAAAGAAAAATGTTTTCTTACTGTTTAATTTATTTTTATTGTTTGAACAGGAAGTGAACATCTTTGTTTCCAACAAAGTTTTACTTTTTGTAGGATTTTAAAAGCAATGCTTTTTATCAGGAGTCTATTAAGGTCAACATTAATAACACTGAAACAGGAACTCTAACTCCCAATATTGGAATTTTGGTACATTTTTTCACATCTTTGTTGTTTATTTAGCAACTGATTCATTTAAATAGGTTTTATATCGACTTCTATGTGCCTTTTTTACCTTGTGGCCTTTTTATTAGTAGCGAGGTACAGAAGTGTCAACAGAAACCCTGATGGTTCTTTTCTACTATCTAACAGGGTTAATTTCACCACAGAATTCCATTAAACCTGAAGAACTTAAGTTTCACCAACTATTATGCATAATGTTTATCATGCAAATGGTTAAACTAATTTTTATTGATGCTTTTCATTACAGTGAAAGTAATAAATTATGGAAGACCATGTAAAATCAAAAGCTATGAAAACGATTTTAATTAAATAATTTGTGAATTCTTTTGAGCAGAATAGGTTGAAAGGTCATTTTCAATGTTTTGAATCAGTTGTTATCTGACACATGACTGTTTGCACTATATTATCATTGTCCTCTTTAAAAAGCAAATCTTCTGGGTTTTTGTAAGAAGCTTGTTTGTTAATGTTGTGAGCTGTGTTTAAAGTTTTTATCAGGACTTTGAATGCGAGGTGTAATAATGCAAATAAACTTAGGCAGTGATTACAGTTACTCTCTGATGTCTGGAAAGCCAGAAAAGTAGAAAATGGTGTTTTCCTAGATGACTTACCATTGTGAAATATGAAGCTATTACCATGTTTTGATTTCTTTAAGATGAGGACAAAGGGTCCACTCTGGATCTGTACACGCCCATCAGCTGAGCAGGTTGAAAAAGGGCCAGAGGATATTTAATTTGTGCTGATATTACAAATGAAACTTGCAGGCATAGATGAAGAGCATCTATGTAAAGAATCCTCTCCCGTCATTTTGATAAAGAACTTATATCCTGTTTTGTTGGGGTTTTTGTTTTGTTTTGTTTTGTTTTTAATGGAATTGGTGAACATATGTTCCTTAACTGCTGAAGCTTCATGTTTTGTTTAGGTTTTCACAAAGTCAGGTGTTTTTGAGTTCTTTTTCATTCTACCACTACTTGTTTTATCCTTTGGTTGTGTGCTGATCATGTTAGAGGTTAATTACATCATTCTGTCGGGCAGTTTACATAGAAATGATATTTTCCTCTTGACTGATTGATGCAGGTATCAAGAGTTTAATTATTTTAAGGTACCCATCCAGCAAGGGAGATGGGAAGGCTTAAAAAGTTATATATGTTACAGATATATAACTAGGAAAGTTTTATATGTCTTCCAAAAATATAATAAACCTCTCTTTTTTCCAGAGTTTTCCTCTTTTCTCCCTTATGAAAAAGAAAAGATAGCACAAACCTAACACTTATCTATAAAATCCATTCATATTCTCAACAGGAAGTCATTATAACTCTACAATTCCTCCAGGTAGCTACACCATATGCCAGGTAAGAGTCAATGCACATTATAAAGAACTTAACAGTTCTTTTCTATTCTTTCAATAAAATAGGGCCAGTTGGTAGGTAGCCTTTGTATATGTGAAAGGAATAAGATAAACCCCATGATCTCCTTGCACAGAATTGCAAAAAAAAAAATTTTTTTCAATGCCAAGGGCCAGACTGAAAACCCTTGGAGTTCATGTGGCAGAATAACCTTCTTACATAAACCAATGCTTGAAGATGCTGCAAATGACCCTCTAATGATCCCTAAAGAGAAATCAGAACAGAGGTAAATAACTCCCTTGAGACCCCAACCCCTGCTGCTGGCTGGGATTTTTGGTGTTAACCTATCTATGCACTCTACCAGCCAGAATGTGGCTTTTAGCTCTTAGTTACATCTAATAAAGGATGGTCTATCCTTTAAAGAGAAGGTACATTTATTCCTTAAGCAAGCAAGAGCACCTGTGTCATACTGCATTATATCTCATGTATATTTATAGTAAAGACTGAATTATACACGTTTCAGTGCCTTTCTTGTGTTGTGAAAGGCAGGTAGATGTTATAGCCATAGATTTTAAAAGTCCGTAGTTAAATTGCACACTGACCTGCAATCTCTCTGTATGTGTTCTTATTATCTTATCTTGCATGTTAACAGTCGGATTACTGGGCGTGTGTCACAGCCTGCCCTGCTAAATCCTAGACAAGTGTGCATTAATACATAGCCACAATTTCTTCCTTCTTTAAAATATTTTGATAGATCATCTCATAAAAGTAAAAATAATTCAGGAAAACTGGGGAAAAGAAATATATTTTACAAAATTGTTTCAAAATCTTCCTAAAACTTAGAAGATAGAACCTAGTCGTTATTTTGTATCTACTAATTGATACATTTCAAGTTAATTAAATGTTACCACCATATGTTTTATTAATCAATTATATAGCATGTGACTTTTGGCTTTCAGGGTTCTCAAAAAAATTTTATTCTTTTGTTGCATGTACTGTATGTTTAGAGGCAACCAGTTATATACTCAATATGGTTTTACTGTGCCTTACACAAAGAGAAACTCTATACAGAATGTGTATCACGGGGTGGGGGACAGAGTCTTTACTGCACTGTTAGGTGATGGCACACACAGCATGTCCCAGAACATTTCTGTGCTTAATTACCCAACCAAAGACATCTAAAGTATGTATGTTGTACTGTAATGGGGGTTATGCCTGGACAATTAAGTGTTTTGTTTTCTGAAATGATGTGAACTTATTTTTCTAAACACTATGCTAAATAAACTTTATATTTATACATACCCTGTGTTTTAAAAAAAGTTATTTGTTTTTTAAATTATGACTAACAGATCTTCCTAGACAAGAAACAGGAAATAACGTTGATTTTATTTATCCCTGGAAAAACAAAGAGTAAGAAAACACACACAAACATTTCAAAAGCTGGCAAATGCTTACAAGGCCAATTGGAGTAATTCTGAAAGAGTAACCTATGTAGATCCTTGCACAGATATGAAATTCTCTTAATTGTGCTGCATATACAGAGCTAAATTCGAAATTTTTATCCTTAGAAGGAGGAAATACACCTTACTCCTTTTTGTGTTCCAGGAGTTGAAGGTAGTGTCCAGTACACAGTAGGTACTCTAGGTCTAATGGGATTAACTGGAAAGATCCAGAGTCCTTTCTGTTCCCAGCCTGATTAAAAGTTCAGCCTCACTCATCCCTAGGGCACTGCCATCAGCCAAAGTCTGGACACCCAGCCTGATTGAAAGTTACAGCCACCTGCATCACTGCTGCATGCAGAAGACTAGGCCTTGGGATAAAAATTATGACATCTGATTTTCTATGTCTCCTACACTGAAACAGCGGAGAGTAATAACACACACTGAGGACAAACTAAGCTGGGCTGTGGTGGCTCATACCTGTGATCCTAGCTATTCAGGAGGCAGAGATCAGGAGGAACACGGTTCGAAGCCAGCCCAGGAAAATAGTTTGTGAGACCCTATCTCAAAAAAAACAAAAACAAATCACCAAAAAATAGGGCTGGTGGAGTGGCTCAAGGTGTAGGCCCTGAGTTCAAACCCTAGTACCGTAAAAAAAAAAGGGGGGAGGGATAAATTGTACAATTTAATAAAACCAGTTAAAGCCATCTAACTATAGATATGTCTGGACATTTTTATATTCCTGTCATTCAGTTACTCTTTTTTTTTTTTCTTTTGCTGTTACTGGGGTTTGAACTCAGGGCCTTGTGCTAGCTAGACAAGGGTCCTACCATTTGTGCCATGTCCTCAGTCCTTTATGCTTTAGTCATTTATATGTAGGGTCTCCTACTTTGCCTAGGGCTCAGACTCTGATTCTCCTACCTATGCATTCCTTGTAGCTGTATCACAGATGTGCCACCACACCCACCTTATTTCTTGAGGGGGAAAGGGGTAGGGGTAGAGGGGAGATGCTCACTATTTTTTTTTTTTTTTTTTTGGTACTGAGGCTTGAACTCAAGGCCTACACTTTGAGCCACTCCACCACCAGCCCTCTTTTTTGTGTGTGATGGATTTTTTTTTGAGACAGTGTCTCTCAGACTATTTGCCCAGGCTGGCTTTGCTCACTAATTTTTTTGTCTGGACTGGACTCAAACCATAATCCTCCTGATCTCCTCTTCCCAAGTAACTGGGATTATAGGTGGGAGCCACCACACTCAGCCTTCTTAGCAATTTTCTACATGTAGTATTTGGACCACTTAGGTCCAAATAGTGTTCAGATACTGTTTTGAGTACAGAGGCAGGATCATAGAGCAGTTATATTTTCTAACATTTAAACCAAATGAATCTGAAAAGTAGCTGCCCTACTTAAAAGACATTTGTGGCTTCTGAGAAACTAATAATGGAAACTCAAGGCCTTCAGCTATATTGTTCTATCCCATTTAACTCCAGAACATACAAAGTCCAAGATGCAGACCCTGCCTCTCTGCCTTATCACATCCCTAGCCACAGAAACTGTTTCCCCAAAGGGACTTGGTCATTTCTTACCTATGCAATCCCCAAAGTTCACCTAGTGTTACAGATTCCAGGAAGCCTGGTCTTGTCTCTCCCTCACAGGTAGAATTGCGCATGACTTGTTCTGAGATAAGAGGGGTTTT